TTGTCTACATTTGACTTGAGTCAACTCTTGTGAGACATCTGTATCTTTTCACTGAGAGTAAGGGGAGCCTTACTAATAAAGCCATATCAAAATGTAAATGTAAAAACAGTGGTGAACATGTGCAGCACATATTTAGACAACTATGAAGGCAGTTCCAAAAGTAACGCCAGGCTATATATGATTTCTTTGTGGTCCAAGCGCGACAGTCATCTCTCTTTCCAACTTGGTGGGCAGAATGGCTTTTGCCCACTGAAAGGCATGTGGGTTGCTCTGAAAGTAAAGCCTCCTGTTTCTTTCTGTGGCAAGTGCAACAAATAGAATGAGTATGATAACACTGTTTGATAAACTCTCAGCTACCAAACATTATTTTTCATTGTTGGCACCAGCATTAGCTATATATTCTCGACAGTGACGATTGAGAGCCTGTATGGTGTCCTCCTTGTAAAAGTCTGCATCAGTGGAGGTGACCCTGCTCCACCCACCATCCCACTGTGGTGAAAGAGCAATTGCATTGTGTATAACTTCTTTTGTATATTCCTTTATTATTATTATCATTTACCCTTCATTTTCAGTGCTATTAAAATGTCTTAATCTCAACCCATGCGTTGCTCTTTTTTCAAGTTCTCTACCCAGTGCAGAGTGTGGGCAGAGTGAGTGAATGACTGCGTGATACACAAGTGCCTGCTGGATTAAACAGCCACTGCTTATATTGGACTTCTCTAGGGTGCCATCTTGTATACAAACATTGTATACAACCAAAAAAAGTATGAATGCTCTTTCTAAAAGTCTCATTTCAATACAAAGGGGGAAGGTGATTTTCAATTTTCTACTATATGTCATCCAGCGTCTGTGTCCTGTGTCTCTGAGTGTAACATGAAGAAGTGAAGAGTGTTTGAGAATTCATTAAAAAAAAAAAAAAAGAAAATGAGTGAGATTCTTATTGAGCATGCAAGAATTTGGAGGGCAGTGATGGGAATGGAGTGGATAAGGGTAGAGGTAGGAAAAGGAAGTTTGGAATGATCTACATTTGTTTGTGGAACAGTTTCCACCTATCTGAAATTCACAGTCAATTTTCTTTTTGCTGATGCTTTGTCATGAGCACACTAAAATGTTTGGAAAAAGTATCTTTTGGCTCCTACTTAGAGCCAAATGATCTGAGCTTATGTCACAGAGCTTGTGGTTACTGCTTTTTTAATGGCAATATTGCTGCCCTGTAGTCAAAGGCTGTTGGTTTATCTGTTTATTTGACATAGCATCCAGCAAAGGAAATGCTCCTGTCTTCTGCAATGAAATTTGCCAGGAGTTTGGGGACAGTGACGGAGATGTACCAGACCTCAATGAAAGACAGCTGACTGAGAAAGAAATACATGGGTTTGCAGAGTTCATGGTTTGCTTTGATCAGGGAAATGATGAGCACATTCTCCACAACCGTTACAATGTACGTCAGCAGCAGTACTGTGAAGAGTAAAACCTTCAAGTCCATAAGGCCTGGGAATCCTTGCAAGAGAAACATGTTGATTTGAGTGGAATTCTTCTCCTCCATTCAGTGAAGTGTAGAACTGAGCATTGTATTTTAAATATAGACCAGGAAAAAAGAAAATGAATAAAGCAGAAGGGGGAATATTCCCACTGATATGCATTGCTTTTTGTCCTCTCACAGGGGCACCAGTGAGAAGAGGCTGTCTCTCTTGTGCTCTTTATTCCACCTTTCTACCCTCCCTCTGCAGGTATTAAACACATGGACGGGATGCCCCTGAGTCTTCTGTCTTCCACACAAACCATTCACTGCTCTTCCAGCCTCTCCTCGTACGCTACATCATGGAATCAGAGTGTGATTGAGCTTGGGAGGGACCACTGTCTTTCTCTTGCCTGGGGATACTCTCCTTGCTGTGGAATGGGCAGGTTCTCCCTCCTGTCTTTCCAGTGCTAAGAGATATGCTGAGGGCAGTGGACACTGCTTTTCTTATCAAAGAGGCTGACAATAGCAGCAAGAGAAAGCAAATCAAAGTCCCTAGTTGTGCTTCAAAAGTTTTTAATGAGAAGTAAAGAATGTAGTGGCACAGTATAGATTGGAATTTAAACATTTTCAGGACCTTGTGAGACTGAGAGAATGACCAATCCCTTTCAGTTATCAGAGACATTTGGGTAATGATGGCTTAGGTTTGTGAATAGTTTCATTGGTGTGCAGTCCCTAAGGATAGGGACAACCCATGTCTCCTTGAGTGGTTCCAAGCTGAACAGTAATGACAGATTGATATGAGCTAGGGGAAAGTCTTTGTGGGCAGGAGTCAGAGCCACAAGGTCATTTCCTACGCAGACCACAATCGTGTTTTTTTTTTTTTTTTTTTTTTTTTTTTTTTAACCAATGTTAAGGCAATACAGAGACATTAATTACAGGGAGAAGTAGAATGGAGAGTCAGACTTTTCTCTCTCACGTTGGCCCTGAGAGGGATGTCTATAGCCATGTTCCATGGTGACTTGTCCATGCAGTCAATTGTCTTCCAACCAGGGGAGAGGGAAGAGAGTTCAGGTGAGGTAGCACCACAGAATGTAGGACTGCAATTACAGAGATGCCAAGCTCCTCTCCTTTGGGTGATCCACACTGAAACTGATCTGTTCTGCAGCTTCAGCCTCTACTACTATGCCACCAGCTTCCACGTCTGACATCATGGGCCAATGTAATAAAAGTGCAAGCATTACTTTCGGAGCAGCCCTCGTAGCTTTAATCTTGGGGAATAAAGTGTCAGTAAGTACATGGCATGCTGCAGTCCTGGTTCCAGCTGCAACAGAGTTTATTTTCTTCCTGGTAGCTGACATAGTGCTGTGTTTTGGACTTACAATGAGAAAAATGTTGAAAACATATCAATATTTATTTGTTGCAGAACAGTGCTTACACAAAGTCAAGGACTATTCAACATCTCATAGTGCTTTGCTGTGAGGAGGCTGGGAGTGCAGAAGAACCTGTGAGGGAATAGTATCAGGACAGCTAACAGAAAGTGACCATGAGATACTCCAAACTGTGTGGTCTTGCTGAACAATAAAACTGGGGGCGAGTACGCTGGGGAGGATGAGGGCACTCAGTAGGTGATGAGCAATTGCACTGCATCATTTAAATTTTTTTTAAAAATTATTATTATTATTTAGCTTTGATTTTCCATGCTGTTGAACTGTCTTTATCTCAACCCAGAGTTACTCTGCTTTTCATTCCACTCCCAGATCACCCTGTAGGCAGAATAAGTGAATGACTGTGTGATACTCAGGTGCACACTGCTAATAACGGATTTCTTTCAGGTTCCATCTTGTATACAACAATTGAATGCAATCAAAAAATGTAAATGCTCTTTCTAACAGACTCATTTCAATACAAAGGGGGAAGGTGATTTTCAATTTTCTACTATATGTCATCCAGCATCTGTGTCCTGTGTCCCTGAGTGTAACATGAAGAAATGAAGAGTGTTTGAGAATTCATTAAAAAAAATAAAATATAATAATTAGTGAGTGAGATTCTTACCGAGTATCCAAGAATTTGGAGGGCAGTGGTAGGAATGGAGTGGATAAGAGTAGAGAGAGAAAAAGTAAGTTTGGAATGATCTAGGTTTTTTTTTTTTTTTGAAACAGCTTCCACCTGTCTGAAATTCATATTCAATTTTCTTTTTGCTGATGCTATGTCATGTGTACACTAAAATGTTTGGAAAAAGTCTTTCAGGTCCTACTTAGAGCCAAACAATCTCACCTTATGTCACCTAACAGACATTGTGACTATTGCAATGAAGATGAGAGTAGAAATAGAGTTTTTACAATTATAGCCTGGAATGGGGAAATATGGAATGACAAAAGAAAGGCCCCTGTTGAAATTAAAAAAAAAAAGTCACATAGAACACATGTGGAAGCATGTGCTAGAATCACTGAAAAATAGATTAGTACTTGAAATAAAGACAACCTTGTAGCATTGTAGACAGTATATTTTCCTTTATCTGTTGTATTTGACAAAGACAACTTTAACGTTGTTGAATTTCTAGTGATTCTGAGAGCTGTGGTCCAGCGTGTGTTAAAAGTAGCTCATTTCAGTGCACTAAAAGAGCTAGGCAATTCCTGCAGTCCTGTGCAGGTGAGTGGAATGATTGCTGTTTATCCCCATCTCCCTTCCTTGCTAGTGGTGAGTACGATCATGAATTCCCAATGGGTGCCTGAATACATACACACACACACACACACAGAGCCACAAACAGATCAGCATAGATAGAAGGACACTTTATTTACAAGTCCCCTCATAACACAGACAGCGTGAATGCCTACCTTTACTAAGAGAAAATACCCTTTGTGAGCTTATCAGTCTATCTCCTGGGTCTCTACAGTTATGGTCTTCCGGGCTGCTGATCTTTTCAACATCTGTCTGGCAGAGTCCGTTCTGTGTACTTGGTAGCTGGACATTGGAGTCACGGGGTCTCCAGTGACTTGTTTTCCCACTCTGGTTGCTCCAGTTTTTGTCCCCAGCACGTCTGTAACTCCAGAATCTGGCTTTCAGGCCTCTTGTCATAATCAATGGCCTTATGTTCACTACCACACCACTTACACATATGCATATGCACAGATCAAAGGGAAAAACTTATGCTGGGAAATAGACAACCTATCTCAAGGCAGGACATTGTGCAAAGAAGTTGCAACCAGGCTTTTTCTAGCAATGCCCAAAGACAGGAAAGTAGACAACAGGCATCAACTGAAAAAAAGAAGAGTCTGTCAGGAAACACCTTAATTACTGTGTGGGTGACAGAGCAACGGTGGATTGCTGAAGAGATACCCAGAGAGTCTCCCTCTGCAGCGTTATTCAGAAGTCATCTGGTCATGGTCCTGGATAACTAGATACTAGATACTGGATGGTCCTTCCTGAGAAAGCAGAAGTTGGTCCAGTCCAAACTCCAGAGACCCCTTATGACCTCAAGGATTCTGTGATTCTCTGGAAGGAAAATAATTAAACAGAAAGGTAGGACAGGATGTGGTAATCAGGTGCAGTGGTTGACCAGACTTGCCACTTTGGACACTTTAGAGATAGTGATTTTTACGGAGAGAATTTTTTTAAATGCTTTCTTCAGTTCCTGATTCCTCAGGCAGTAAATGAAGGGGTTTAACGTGGGTGTGACAATAGTATATACAGCTGACACAAGTTTATTCATGTCATAAGAAGAGATTTTCTTGGGCCGTGCATACATGAAGAGAGTGGCTGAGAAGAAAATAATGACCACAGTTAGGTGGGAAGCACATGTGGAGAAGGCTTTCTTCTTACTTTGTGTGGTGGGGATGTGCAGGATTGTCGTGATAATTAATAGGTAAGAGACAACAGTGATAGAGAGGGGAACAAGCAGGATGAACAAGGCCAACACAAAGTCCACCATCTCTGCCATTGACATATCAGTGCAGGCAAGGTTTAGCAGTGGGCTGATGTCACAAAAGAAATGGTTAATAACATGGGAACCACAGAACTCCAACTGAGAGATGAAGGAGATCTTGATCAAGGACACAGTGAACCCGGTGAACCAGGAGAGAGCTATCAGACATACACACATTTGGTACGTCATGATGAGGAGATAGCGCAGTGGTTGACAGATGGCCACATAGCGATCGTACGCCATGGCAGAGAGAAGGACACATTCAGTGCACAAGAAAGAACTGAAGAAAAAGAGTTGGGTCATGCATCCAGCAAAGGAAATGCTCCTGTCTTCTGCAATGAAATTTGCCAGGAGTTTGGGGACAGTGACGGAGATGTACCAGACCTCAATGAAAGACAGCTGACCGAGAAAGAAATACATGGGTTTGCAGAGTTCATGGTTTGCTTTGATCAGGGAAATGATGAGCACATTCTCCACAACCGTTACAATGTACGTCAGCAGCAGTACTGTGAAGAGTAAAACCTTCAAGTCCATAAGGCCTGGGAATCCTTGCAAGAGAAACATGTTGATTTGAGTGGAGTTCTCCTCCATTCAGAGAAGTGTGTAGCCGAACACTGTAGATTAAACAGAGAGCTGGTAAATCAAGAAAACAGAAAAAAGAGGAATATAGGTTAGAGGTATGAACTTTAAAGGCTTATTTTTTCCGGTGAGAATTGAATAAAAGTTCAAAAGGTGGGTTAGAATTTTTGTGATTGAGCTTTATATGCCTGCCTTGTTGTTTTTCTCTCCTAGTGGAAACAACAAGACCTACTAAATTTCAGATGAGATGTAAAGCATCCAAAGTGAAGGTTCAAAAATAATAAGAATGCAGATGACTAGCATAACTGTAAGCATCCACGTAGAAGACATCTGAAGTACATTCTGATTAATCCCACCCCTGATTCCCTTGTACATCTTCATTTTAATTGTTTGCTAAATTGTTTTCTGCCTAAAACAGTTTTTTGCTCCTAAAAAAAAAAAAAGCAACCACATGAATATGACTAAAATAACAGAAATTAATATCACTCTCCAGATTACAGATGTGGGTCACAAAGATCTGCTGGACACTATGCTGCAAAACCAGTGCTGGAATCTGTATACATCCAAGGTTTGGGTAACTCTGTAGATTAGGATACACTTCCACATACCTTTGGTTCATTAAATTAATATTTACGTATTGTTTTTCTCTCCATTAACCAGATAGTACAATTCCTTGACTTTCAGTTAAAATGTAGACAATTTCCCTTTTCAAATCAAGTGAATTGCTTTTGAAAAGACCCAATAAAAATTAGGCCATTAGCAGCTCCACTGATTGCATTGCCATCATTCTGTTTTCAGAAAGGTAAGCGCAGCCTCAGCACAATGCAAAGTCCAGCATTTCTAGAGGAACATTTCTGACACTAAAATTCACTTTACAGTGATTTCTCTTAATCTATAAAGTCCCCTTGAAAGCATTGCCTCATTAATGTTAACATCAAAACGTGGATAATATTCCTGTTTTCACTTCACAGTTTTGCTTGAATATCAATGCAGTATAAGCTTCTATATTAAAATATAACTCAGACGTGAAACTGTTAAGCATGGAAATTTCAAAGGAGAATTTAGCATCTTTCTGTAATTGCATTCAGCAAACCAACCCGTCTTCTCATTTATGCCTGGTAGGAGTATGTGTAGACAATTTCTCCAAAATGAAACGGTGGTAACTGCGTGCAATAACTTACGACACTTAGTCTTTGTGAAGTTCACAAGCAGGGTGGAAGGAAACCAAAGCTTGAGACTTGTCATCTGAGAATCAGTCAGCTGCTTATTGGACCCATCTTCTGATTCATCTCCAAGCCTTTGTGTTCTTTTGTTACTGTTGAAATCATACATGGAAGAAAAATTGGAAATGTCTTATTGTAGTCATGGTTCTACAATTTTTGTTGAATCTCTGACAGTCTAGACCAGGCTGTGAATGATTTTGAATACAGGAGCGTAGTTCTACACGGAGGCTTTTGAGACCCTGTCAGCAAGCTTTCAGACCGTTTCCTGGGGGGTTTGGTCTCTGGAGAAATGGCAGCAAGAGTGACTCTTTTTTTCCCTCCCCTGCCATGTTAATCACCGCATTTGTGTTTGTAGGCAGTTCTCAGATAGCAGTGGCCCAGTAGCTGTTTCATGAGCTGGAAAACAAAATCCTTGAATCAATGACAGCTCTTTGTTGAATATACGCCGGCATTGGCTGAGTTGCAGATACTGTCTGTCCAAAGCTGTCCGTTCGGTATCTCTCTCCTACTCTCCCACACTGTTCCAGTCCTGCACCAAGGATTTGCATGGCAAATGCAGACTTTTATCAAAAGTTAATACCACCTTACATTCCAAAGAGTCTGGAGGTGATAGCTGGATATCACTGTCTCCCTGTCAAGAGAGTCCCCACCCCACCTCTTACAGCAGATTATGAATCTCTTCATATATATAAGGGAAAGCATTTGGAGACTAACAATGTCTCTGCTGAGCATTACCAACACAAAACTGCCTTTGATTCTTCCCTGGAAGCAATACAGAGGGGTGATGACTGAAATCCTCACTTGTGGCCAAATATGCCAGGTGGCATAAGATATACAATTTGCATGGTTCTAGCTGCCAATTACCACCATCAGTGTTTGTCTTCACAGAACTGCCCTTGCCTTTGTTTCCTTGGAAGCAGCAGAGAGGCCATCTTTGGAGTGAAACCAGCCTCTCCGGAAGGATAAGCCAGATGGCAGTGTGAGGCCAAGATGCTGAGAGTGCTGCACCAAATGTGCAGCCTTTGGTGTTCCATCTTTCAGGGCCTCTCTGAGGCTGCCATCGGCTGTCTCAATTGGTCAGTGGCAGTCCCATCTGTTGCCTATCGTAGGCGTGGCGACCTGGTTCGGGAACGGCACGGCTACCAATCCCAGGTCGCTCGGTCCATCGGCTCACTGACACCAATGTGGTGGACGGCAAATGGCGTTTATTGGCGGGAAAAACAGCCTTATATAACCTGGGCACTGAACGCTATTGGCTATCGGGAGGGGGACCCTGTCTTCCCGTACAACGCGATATCTTCTGGGCGCCAGACCCTCACTACCACACCCATCCACTGGGCTTTAAGTGCCACCTGTCCCTGAGAGTCCCAGGGAGCTGGTCAGCCTTTGCCCAGGGCATGTGATGATCCCAGCATAACTGGCTGAAGCATGTATTGGTGGCTGAGTGGTGAAGGCACTGAGATAGAAATCCTTTAGGATTTCCATACAAGGGTTCAAATATTATCACAAATCATAGAGAAGTTTGTGTTGGAAGGTACCATAAAGATCACCCAGTTCTAACTGTGCTCCTATGGGCAGGATTGCCTCCCACCAGATCAGACTGCCCAGGCCCCCATCCTACATGATCCTGGAGCCAGGAGCCATCCCTTCCCAGGCCTCGTTGATGGGTTGGCAGTTAAGGCAAAGGTATCCCTTCGCACCTGATGTCTTTTGAAGATAAGCGGTGTCTTTCCGTTATTTCTGTGCCCATGGCTGTTGCCTTTGAGTGAGTCCTCAACTCTCTGCAGCTTGGGGTCTTGCTGCTCTGCTGTCATTGTGGTGCTTTCCACTGTATTAGACCAGCAGCAGTATTTAGCTGTTCCAAGGGTTGTGGGGTAAGCAGTTGTGAAAGACATTGTTCTAAACTCACCTCCCCTTTTTTTTCCTTGTTTCAAAGATTGCTTCGTGAGGCCTTTTTGGTGATAAGGCCCTAACAGACAACTGCAAATTATCTAAAGAAGTGAGTGGTGGGTGTCACTGTGCCACAGTGCACAGTTCTAACTGTGCTCCCGTGGGCAGGATTGCCTCCCATCAGATCAGACTTCCCAGGGCCCCATCCTACTTGGCCTGGATAACCTGCAGAGATGGGGCACTCACTATTTGTCTGTGTGGTAACACAGCATTACTTGGTTTATAGATGTGTCAGTCCCCAATGGTTGCATAAGAAATCTCAGGGATGGGACAGAATGTGCTTTCCTGAGGTGGCTGTTCAGAGCAATGTCTGGGGATATGTTGCTTATTCCAGTGAGACAGACTCCTTAGCATCCCTGGAAAGATCATTCCCATCCTTGTCCATCTTCATGGAACATGAGGAATACTGTGTGTGGCATTCTGTGCATTCCCACTGATGTGCATGGCTTTTTGTCCTCTTACAGGGTTGCCACTGAGTAGAGGCTGCCTCTCTCGAGCTTCCTCTTCCTGCCAACCCTCCCTCTGCAGGTATTAAACACATGGACGGGATGCCCCCTGAGCCTTCTA